CTCACTGAGGTGGGGGACATGGATGATTCACAGGGGATGTGGACGGTACGCAGCCAACTGAGAACCAGAAGCTCTGACGCCCAGATAGCGAACTAAATCACTGAGGAAGAGGACTCAGAAAGACAGCACTTTTTACTCCCATTTATGTGGCTCTTTAAAAACAAACCATCCAACCAATGAACCACTTTCTCAAGAGCACCAAACATTCCCTCACTCCCTCAAATGGTATCTGACTGCAGGCAGGCAGGCAGGCAACAAAGGAATTATATTTTAAAGTAACCAGTTTATTTTAAGAGCATGAACTAGCTGTACTAGGCAAAACCAACAGAATGAGGCCCAACTTCATTTGATTGTGCAGCTATTTGTCTTTTCACCTCCATGTTGAGCTGACATTCCAAAGGATATGCATTGCAATTGTAGCCATGTTGATCCCAGGATATTAGAGAGACAAGGTGGGTAACGTAATATCTTTTATTGGACCAATTTCTGTTAGTGAGAAAGTTTTCGAGCCACAAAGCTCTTCTTCAGGTCTGGGAAAGGTACTCCAAGCGTTACAGCTAAATGCAAGGTGGAATAGATTGCTAACTACTTATGCTAAACACGTATTCTAAGAGACCATTCAAGACAATGGACAATCCTCAGATATTCCACCCCAAACACTTTGCCAAACTCATCCATTTCATCCTCACCCATAACAATTTTACATTCAAACAAACAACATTTTGTCTAAACCAAACAAACATTTTGTCCAAACCATAAATATAGCCATGGGTGCTTGGATGGGTCCCCAATATGCCAATCTCTTCATGGACCTCCTTGAAAAAGAATTTCTGAACAAATGCACCACAAAACCAATGACATACCTAAGACACATTGCTGATATTTTCCTCCTCTGGACAGACTGCGTAAACGCCTTCATAGATGTCCACCACATGTTCAACAATCACCAGCTATCCATTAAACTCTCCCTGGAACACTCTCAAACTAGCACCAACTTCCTGGACACTACAATCAGCTTCAATAAAGGAACTCTACAGACAACCATATGCAAGAAACCCACAGATCACCACATCTACCTTCACAGATCCAGTAACTACGCCGCATCCTCCCAAGAAATCAGTTATCTATAGCCAGGCACTCAGATACCACAGAATACACTTGGAGGAGAACCTCCAGGATATATTCCTTAACATACACAAAACCACCTTCGCCAAACAAGGACACTCCACCAGAAAAGTAGACTGCATCATGGAACAGGCCACCCAAATACTGCAAGAGAACCTGCTTCAAAAGAGAAATAAACCCCCCTCCAATCACAGACCCCCTAGTTGATACCTACTACCCCACACTGGAACCCATATGGGGTATCAAACAAACAAAATCCCTGGATCCTATTCATGCCTATCACAACATGTGGTATATCTCATCCAGTGCCCGAAATGTCTCAACTATGTGGGTGAAACCAGACAATCACTATGCTTTTGAATGAACTCTCAGAGGAAAATGATAAAAGACAAAGAACACCCCATCACCTTCAGGTGAACACTTTTCACAAAGTGATCACTCTATATCTGACCTATCAGTCCACATCCTCAAAGGAAACCTGAACAACACTTTCAGCTCCTAGGCTCATCTTCTGAAATTCATAACTCTGCTAGACACCAAAAATCATGGACTGAACAGACACACTGGATTTAGGGTTTATTACAACAATCTGCAACCCACTAACCCCCTCTTTTTGTCTTATGACTGCAGCGGTATTAACGAGCCACTGTACCTTGAATGGTCCCTTAGAATATGTGCTAACTACTTATGCTAAACAATCTGCATCAGGCTTCTCGAGAAGCCCCCCACCCAATATGCACCCAATTCTCGGAAGAATAATGAGGAAGGTACTGAAAAAAGGGAACAGACCCCAACTCTTTTATTTTCCTATTGACGTATAATTTGTACTATGTTTGCGGTTTGTAAGAATAAAAGCAGCCTGCGAGCTGTGATTGTGGGTGTAGTTTATGACTGCAACCCCCAACGCTTTGGTATGTATTGCAATAAACTGGCCTCAGGCTTGAGTCTGTGAACTAAAATTAATGCAGGGGTGACTTTTTCCACAACACTTGCATTTAGCTGTGATGCTCCGAGTATCTCCGAATCTGAAGAAGAGCTCTGTGTGGCTCGAAAGCTTGTCTCTCTCATCAACAAAAGTTGGGTGGGTCTAATAAAAAAATATTACCTCACCCACCTGGTCATTCCAAAGGGCAGTGATACAGCGCTGACAATAGAGGATCGTTAAATCAGGACGTCCTCAATTCAAATAAAAACATCCTAGACAACAGGCTGGCTCCCAACTCGAGGAACCATTTGTCAGTGAAGAGGTTACCTGTAAGGGTTTGATCACCGGAGGAAGCTGATCAAGGAGTCACCTAACAGTGGGGACTGGAAAATATTGAAGAGCAGGGGTTGACCATTTTCCACCAGCTCAAGGGAAACTGCTGTAGGAGCCTGATGAGGCAGAGGAGAACTCTGCCTACCTGAACTCAGATGGCTGCCCAGAGTAAAGATAAGCTACAGTGAGCGACATATATTCAGGGTTTTTTTTGTTTTCTAAACGATCTGTATTTTCTTGTGCTTTCTCTCAAGTAAAGAGCAATGGTGTTTTAGAATCCTATATACAGATTGTACACATGTGCATGTTATGTGCTAAACCTACCTCGGGCCCCTAGAGTTAACCTATGAATCCAGGATGCCTATAAGGGTGGAGTTCTGCGAAGGGGTATCTAAAAGGATGCACAAACTATGGGGAAGTCTGAGAAGTCAGAACTTGGTCCAGGGGCTAGGTGATTGGACCATGAAGCCTCGGGTCTCAGGAGGAGTGTGTGTGAAGGAACTGCTGAGACTGTTGACATCACCAGGAGTGGAACCTTTGGAGCGATTGGTCAGGGTGACAGCTGGAGAGTGGCACTCAAGAAAGGGCAATCTGGGAATTGTAACAGGGCAATCACAGGGAACTGGGAGTTGGAGGACCAGACAGAAGGTCTAGCTAGATTTACCTGAGAAGTGGGCTAACTAAAGAAAAGTTAGACCTCTGCGGCGGGAGCCTGAAGAGATCTCAGCTTGGTGTCCTTATCCCCAGATACTTCCCACAAAGGCAGATCACGGTGGCCTTTGGAGGGGAGATACTCCTCAGAGAAGGTGAAGGATTCCCAAAGTCATCCCAGTAACTCAACAACAAGGCTTGGTACTGAGAGGTGACATCACACAAGTTATGACACACTACGTATGTATATTTGTAAATAAATAAAAAGCTCAAGATAGACTTACATAGACAGGGTAAGATGAGCGGTTTATGTGTATAGAACTATTTTTAATGCTTCCAGTTCCATGTTATATTATATTTGTTCTTACTTAATAAATAAGAATTTATTTTCACTAGATCTAAGCCTCAGCCTGAGATGTTGTATTAAATTATTGAGACGCCTGAATGTTGCTTCTTGAAGTGACATTATGTAATAATTACCACATGCTAGAGTGTATCTCTGAGTTTCCAGTCCCTGGGGAGAAAAGGCTAAAACCTTTTAACTCTAAGTCTAAAAGAGGCAAGGTGAGAGTATTGGATGGTGGCAGCAAATGTACCAGATAAAGAGTCACCAAGTACACGCGTCTGCTGTCCTCCAGAGGGGGTCAGGTAACCTCAGGGTGCTAGACAGAAAGCTGCAACCCAAGTGTGTTCTTAGACACCCCAAGCCTAGGGGCAGTACCTGGACACTGTTCAGACTCCGGAGTTTTAAAGCATATGGGGATTCAACATTTGGGTTCCCTCAACATTCTGGAGGGAGAGCTCAACTAGATCTGTGACCTGTATTCCTAATGATTTGAGCTTCATGTACATTCCCTGACCACCCAATGTCATGTCAGTACAACATTCGTGGTGATCCACCAGTACTTGTAAAACCATGAAAAAGTAGCCTTTTCTCTTTCTCTATTTAGAAAGAAGAGTGTGGGTGGGAGGGCAGGGCACTGATTCAGGGAATGAATCTATTATTTCCTGCAATTGCCCAGACTCACAACATTGTGCAGTAGGACACGCTTAAATGGCCTCGCACACCTGGGTGACAACCACTCCCATCATAGGTTTTCCAACACCAAACTGATTTCTCACTGATCAACAGCAATCTAAGGTTACAAGCTTCCAGAGAGTGATTCCCACCTATTTCTCCGCTGTCAGAACAGCTCTTGTTTTGGTGTGTCTGCACTTCAGTGCTGGGAGTTGTTTAACAAGCTCACCCAAGAACCTGGCCTTCCACATCCAAAAGTTCTGAAGTCACTACTGGTCATCCCCAGTTTGCACCATAATTCGATCCCATCACTCAGTGCTCGTTTCATAGGGCCACAACCACTGCTCCACCATGTGCATCTGGGAAGTAATACCTGCAGCAGCTCACCAGTTTCACTGTCTATATCATCCACTTCTCCTCAGTAATCTCAATATCCCAGCTACACAGCTGGCTACACAGTTGTGGGTCCGCAAATACAAAAAGAGCTCCAACGATCTGTGCAGCTTCTGAGAGTGACATAGCTGAGACTGAAAATCCAGTGTGAAGAAGTAGATTATGGGATGGACAAGAGGGAATTTGAACATTTCTCAGGGAATTGTGGGAGTTAAAGTACACTGAAGAAATTTCCCAAAAGGTGGTGCACTGGTCAGTGGTGTTCGGGACACTAGAATGCGTACCCATAGTACCACAACCAGCTGATGTAACCTGGTGCTGTGAGGAGAGATTGCACCAGCTAAGGCAGCCAAATATTCATAAATTCTAAGACTGGAAGGGACCTCGAGAGGTCATCGAGTCCAGTCCCCTGCCCTCATGAATGTTCTCTTCTTAAAGAGCTATGACTGTAGCTATATACTGGCAGAACTTTTCCCAATAAAACTTTCTAGTGTAGATAAGCTCTGGAAAAGATAAGATTTAGTTTAATAAAAGGTAACATAACTGTTTACTTGCCTTTGGATTGTTTGCATCAAACAGGCCAGTAGAGAGCCCAATCAGTAATGAACTTTTGCCTTTCCTTTTTGCTGGCGATACAGATCGTGAACGAGGTGGAAAAGGCTCTTCCAGTGAAGACTGAGCTGACAGAACTGGTGAGGTTGTTGGTATGGCTTGTGGTTGTGGCACCTTCTGGAAAAAGGGCTCAGGTTGCATAGAGTCACTGAGACAAGTGTCTGGGGATGGTGAGAGAAATAAGGTTACAAATCCATGTAGACAAAAACTCCAAGCCTCTAAGCAAATGGTAACAAGGGTTGAATTAGGATAGTCCAATTATATCATAAAAAGAGCCATATCAGCTAATTTCTACATTTGAGATTCACTTGCTTTTATATATTGTTTTAATATAAATGGTCAAAAATGTTTATGCTAGGAAATGCAATTCAAGTTTCGCCCCTCCTTCATTTACCAAGACCTTTAAAAACATAGATGCAAAATATTACTAAGTTGAAGATTTTTATTAATCAATATTCAACTTTTGAAAATTGTGTAAGCTGGCCATATGCAAAGAAGTACTTTACAATGTATACTCTGTTGTCATGTTTTTACACCGCTTAACTGTATCTTACAAAACTAACGTGGTTCATTTTCATTAGTGTAAGGTATATTTGTGAAGGGTATACTGCTTATAGTTTATTACAGAGAAGCTCCCATAAGGAGTTACTGCAAGAAAGTTTTGACCAACCACATTTCATTTGTAAATTACTATATAAAATCTTATACATTATGTTAAAACCTTAAAGCACAAAAAGTCTAATATATATAGTCTGATGAAATTTACAAGTGTAATTAGTTGACAGAGTATTTTATCACAATACAAATCTTAATATAGAAACAATCATGTAAAATACTATACATGTTCTGAAATATTCATTTTATGTCAGGGATACCGAATCATCCCTAAAATGTGTGGATAGTGAGAACATATTTGTTTAATAATATTAACTGTTGCAGCACAGTCCCCTCATTCTGATAGTTTTATTTCTACTTTGTCCTGTTCTAGTCTTGTATGCAATATAGTGTAAGACAAATACCCATTATGGGAAATGTGGAACTAGCTATTAAAAATACAATATTTTGTGTTTATGTGTGCACCATATAAATTGGAGCCTCCTAAATTTCACAGGAGCAAAGAATTTCCTTAAAGTTTCCTCTATCCTGGATCTATAAAGGTTTTATTATTATTACTACTACTACTACTTTTATTTTCTAGTGGCGTAAGTGTACCTGTGCTTCATAGAAGACACTAAAAAGACAGGCCACTTCCCTGAGCAGCTTACTAGATGAAGAAATATAAAAAAATATTTCCAAATCTATGTTTACTCTACCTTCACTAAAAAACACCTAAAGACTTTTTGGGGGTTTTGTTTGTTTGAAAAATGCAACAGAAACCTCCGTTCTCCCCAAGAGTTTACCAATTTCTGCTGAAATAACCCAGGACAGAGGCTGTCCTCTTCAAAAGAATGCCAAAGCACAGTGGAAGAAGATAAATACACCCCACCTTAACACTAGAAATCCAGATCTAGACAGTCATGCTCCAAGAATGGATGGCATTAACCATGTAGGGGGTGTGCTTAAGAACATCCAAGTGATACACTAGATAGCCTCCGATAATGTGACTTGTGAAGCCTTGTCTGCAAATTCAACCTGTTCTCCCCGGATGGATGCCCCAGAGCAAGAAACTGATACAAGCATAGAGTGCCCAAAATTACCCTGTAGTACCGCTGCCTCTGCTGTTATGGTGGGGACATGTACCACTCCACCTCAGATCAGCATGGATGAACTGAGTGCACAAGGTCAAACCTCATTTGATGGAGGCATTTGCCAAAATAAATAAATAAAGCAGCAACTTGGCCATAAGGGAAGACAAATGAACTCTGTAATTCTTAAAAGGCCCAATCTTAGAGTCTTAATTCTTGCTTATACTAAACTCCCACTGAAGTCAATGGAAGTTGACTCCTAAATTTGTGGGATTTTTAACGGAGTATTTCAGAAATGAGCCCATGGCTGTAAAGTTGTTCTACATCACTGCAGACCTCTGAATTGCATAATGCCCTTTGTGTACCATTCAGTCAAGGAATAAGTTTGTATGTATGAATCAGACACTGCAGTTTCTCTTTTTTTTTCAAAATTGGAACAACTGCTTCAGATAAAGGTCTTAAAGTGATCATCTTCCCTATGGCTTCTCTTTTGTTTGCTTATATGAAAAAAATATTAGGACAATTAAGAAGAGCAAATATAAAAAACCTGCTTTGATGCTACAGGCATAGCGGATTGTTAACATTCCCCTTTCACCCATTTCTTCCTTTTTGTTTGGATTTAGTCTTTACATTTCAGGATACTGAATATCCCTTAGTTGTCTATACATCCCTCCTGCTCCAATTTCTTTAAATCCCTATGCAGTTGAAGTCTTTTGTCCTGTTTATTTGCTACTTTTCCAATTTTGGCTTCATCTGCAAATCTGATTTACACCAACAAGAACACCTAACAAAAGAAGACCTGCAGCAAATCCCAATGAGACGAGAAAGGTGCTTGAGATTTTCAAACTAGTCGGACAAAGGCAATGCAAACCCTAAGAGAGTCCCGGACTGCATTACAGTTTACAGGGCTGTCATTCTCATAGGCTGACAGCCCCTTCAACATGAAAGGAAGAGTCTGTAGACACCCGGTGAACTCTTCTAGAATAAATTCTTTTAGCAACTACAGAGAAGGAAGGTTATAATCAGCTAGCAATACTTGAATTTATTAGTAGTTATCCAAGCTAGAGATAAGTATATTTTTCTAACTTCAGGTCAACAGCGCTTTTACTAATATCTAATGTACAGTGATAAAATCATGTAAAGTATTTTCTGAAAAGAAAAACAATGGCACTTTTTTGGGAAGAAAAATTTTGTTGATTGGGAAGTCCAAGATTTGGCTTTCTTAATCTATCAGCAGAATCCATTTATGAACTTTCTAGAACTACAGAGTGAAAGTGGCAATAGGACAGAACAGATTTGTCTTTTAGATTTAAAAGGTAATACCCATATACTGTATAACCAATGCTACTATTTAAAAAAAAAATGTAGTTGTCTGCTCACTGACCAGCAGAAACTTCATCATGCGGTTGCGCATTATGTGGCATTTCCTTCTCCAAAGCTGCTTCATCACCACCACCATCTTTCTGACAGGCAGTATCTTCCTGTGGCCTACAATTTAAAATCACCATTAATGCAATTCATCTACAGAGAAAATCAGCCAGCCATCAAGGGTAGGTCTACACAGGGATAAAAGCCCCATTACATGGCCACAGCTGAGCCAGATCTGCTGATTCAGACTCATGAGCTAAAAATTGCTGTGTAGATGTTTGGGTTCGGGCTCTGGTACCCTCCACCCTCACAAGCTCCCAGAGCTCTGGCTCCAGCCCAGCTCAAAATGTCTAGACAGCAATTTTTGATCCCCAGAGCCAGAGTCAGCTGATCCAGGCTAGCCATGGGTTTTTTATCCAGGTGTAGATATACCCCACATTAACAAGACAATTAGAAGCATCAGCACTAAAGCCAAGTATAACGTTTTAATTAAGTGAAATATGTAAAGTACTAGTCCGTCAAAACCTAGCTATTGTTTTGAATGGCTCTACAGACAGTGACCAAGAAAAAAAAAAAAGTGAAAATTGTTACTCACCCATTCTCCGTTATTGCTTCCCTTTCTTTAACCCACACATCATGAACAGTGATGATAAACTGGTCACTTTTGCACTTATTTTTTTCAGTTTCTTCCAATATTTCTTCTTCCAAATCATCCAGCTCTAAAGTAAATAAAAGCATGATCACAACTACAGAGCATCACAGTCAGATGCTCAAATGAAAGAAAAAAAAAAAATCACAAAAATATTTCTTGTCTGAAAAGGTTACATTTACATTCTTGGAGGTTCAGTGACTTCTGGACTTTAACAGAAGACACTTTTGCAGCCCCAAAAGGCACTGCTTTCCGGTAGGTTCCCAAAGCACAGCGGTGCCAGGGTGCCCAACCCAAAACTGGGAATATGGAGAGACCACCTCCAAGGAAAACTCCGCATTTCCTTAATTCTATCCCCAGTATCTCAATTTAACATTGCCTACAAGTTTTTGGCATTTAATATATTAGAACTGTAATAAGACATACTAACTTATTGGTATACATCAAAGTTTTGGCAATTTTTTATTTAAAAAAGTAATAATCAATTACATTATTTTTAATTCCTTACTGATTAAGACAATATTTATATCATTTAGAATTAGTAATGAAAATCATACCATCTAGCACAACAGGCCTGGATGGCACTTGGGTGGCATCAAATGTTTGTGACTCCTCTGGTATTGTCCTTTCAGATTCTAGGATACCAACAACTGGAGCTGAAGATTTCTTTCCAATACAAGAAGCAATTTTTACTTCGCTGTTTTCTTTCATTGTTAAGGGCTGAGAACCTTCTTCAGGAACTTCTATAGTATCAAATAATACAAATTTATTATACAATTTTAAAAAGTGAGTGTTATCTGTTTTGGTAATGATAAAGGGTAAACTGTAGAGTTGATAAGCATTTTAAATAAAAGCAACTACCCGTACTAAGAGTAAGGAAAACACAGTGTTTACAAACTTTTTAAAAAATCATAAAGAGGAAAGGTGAATCTACTATGCTTGAAAAATAGTAACGGGTTTATTTATTACTATTTTCATAATTGCAGGGAAATAAAAAAAACTATATTTGCCCATAAATGGAACAACTTGCTCTATTAAGTCTGTATGCTTTGGACTAATATAAAATACTATTTTGCAGTATTACAAGTTTTACCAAAGGAATCTTTTTACCTAATCTAAGGAACTGTAAGAGTACAATGGTTGGAAACATACATGAATTCACGTATCCCTGAAAGGATAAAAAGAGATCACAAAAGACACAAAACTGACATTATTACAAATGACTTTTATGTAAGATGATAATATGATTTATGTGCCTTAATATTATGCTGAATGAATTTTCTGCTTACTTGATTAGGCGAGAATAACTATTGGTATTTAATGATCTACCCAGCACAACTGCAAAAGACAATTAATTGTTGTCAAATCCCAATTCTTAAGATTTATTAAACTTTTACTACCTTAGTACACCAATGTACCATTCCAAAAAGTTAGACATACTCAGTTCATTTTAGAGCATGGGATTACATTTAAGAGTTGAAAATTCCAGTACAATTACACTGATTTGTGTCTCTCTGCCAGGACAGCATGGTCCACTGTCTCAGTGGAGAATCACAAAGAAAGAAATTAACAGTAGATGTTGAAACACTATCAGCATCTGGAAGCAGAAGCGGGGGGTGAATAAAAATAAAAAGCCAGAGGCCAAAGAACAGAGGGGAAAGATATTAATCCTATCAGAGATAGCTGCTTTGGAAGTGCCAGGATTGATAGGTGAGGAGCTCAATATATTTATCTAATATTAGAACACAAGCGTGGCAAGATACGGGTTTTAAAGAATGACTCCTACTTTTTTGTCCAAACTATTCCATTTTGCCAGACGTCTAATCCTGAATTAGGAGAGACAAGAAGATTATGGTGCTAAATAATAATAGATTTTTATTTGTCTAATGGAGGCTATCCATTTAAACAACAACCAAAAAAACCCCACAGGTCCAGATAGTCTAATATTTTGAAGCAACTTCAAATTTGCTTCTATATAATTCAATTTCCCGCCTTTCAGTCCTTTTTAGCATCCTGTTTCTTTGTCAAGTTTAATTTTGTTTCTTTGTATTTATCACAATTGATATATGAGAGTGGGAATGAGGGAGAAGATGAAAGAGGAAGGAACAAAACAGGGACAGAATAAATTTCTATTGCCAGGAAGGAGTCCTCAACACAAAAGCAAGTGATCCATATTGAACAACAGCTGCTGAAAAGAATTCTGCTGAATAGTGAACTTACGCTCTTGTTAATTAAAATCCTACCTGAAAAATAAGTGGCAGTTACTTACCTGTAACTGGATGTTCTTAGAGATGTGTGTTCCTTATCTGTATTCCACTGGGGGTTATGCATGCACACCATGCACCTGAAGTCAGAGAATTTGAAACTAGTGTATGTTCATCCACATCTTATGGGGATGCCAGAGATGGCAATGAATCGTCAGTACCATCCGGAACCACTGGATCTCATTGTTTATGGGTCTTTTTCTCGTGCCTGTGAGACTTGGAAAGTATTCCATCCCCTTGAGCCAAGCTAGTGGAGGGAGCGTCCATCTTCTTTGATTTGGAGGAAGACTTAGTCCCATGCTTACGGGAGTGCTTCCTCATCTCCCAGCTAGATCCCACCCTGGGGTCTCGGGGGGTGGTTCCACCAGCACTGGGGTCAGCCATAGTAGCGGGAAGCGTGCTCCTTGCTGAATCAGACCAATATAGTTGGGGGGGGGGGGGGGCAGGGGTTCTTCTGGCCTGGGTCTGAATGTGGTTTCATGGCAAGTTCCATGAGATGCTTCTGGAGGCTAAGTGCCCAGCCTTCTCAGGCACAGCTGGGGAAGGACTAGCAAATACTGCACCTGGACACGAATATGATCTTCTCCCAGGCAGCAGAGATAGCATTGGTGGTCACCACTGACCAAGAAGGATCATGGACTGGAGGCACAGAGTTTGAAGCCCAAAATTCTGGTCATAATGTAGTTCTTGTGCATGGATATGGAGGAGGGTGCAGGGGGGGAGGCATGGGTGAAAGCCCAAAGTTTATCTAAAACAATTGCTAAAACTATTAACTTTTAAAACTAAAAGGAAAACAAAACTGGTAAAACTGCTATTAAAAAAAATCTAACTATTTACAACCATCTTTTAGAAGTACATCAGAGCTTAGGACACGAACTTTCGATCCAGACCATGCGCTGCGGAGAAGGAACTGGAGACGCAGTCAGTCTGCCCCACCCTTTATCCCCTTCGATAGAAGCACAAGGCGAGCCAGGCATACGCGGACCAACGGACACTTCTGTCAAATTCTGACTCCAGGTGCATGTGAACCCTCAGTGGAATACAATAGGGACCATCACTCAAAGAAGAACTCGCCAAATCATGATATTATATTGCGATAAGTAGTTTAAACAGGAAAAAACATTACTCTCGTAAGCCCAATGCAAGGTAATTTTCTAACCCTGCAGTTCAGACAACCCGCAATTCCTGCTTACCATTTGTGATAGTTATTTCCTCCAGTAATTCAGTTTGAAGCTGTAACTCTGCTTCTCCCAGTATCTTCAGCACTGAATCAGTAGGGCTTTTGCCCCAAACTTTCCTCTGGGGTTCACCAACATCTAGTTTAATTACCTCCCCCACGGTCTGCCCTGTTGGGAATCATGAAGAACAAATACGTTTATCATCTTTGTTCACAATCCTATAAAAATCAAGGAATGACTACGTATATTGCTTTTTATTTTGAACACACGAGCCTGTAAAGATAGATCCCTGATTAAATCTGAACACCGGAAGAATCTCTCTCTGGCCACTAGCTTAAAAAGTTTCCCCTGAAATTTCCACTTAATCATAACAGCAGACCCACCAATATTTTTAGTCAGAAGGAGTTGGTGTCTTTTTTGTTTGTTAGTTTTCAGTACCTGAGGCAATGTGGGTAAGCCAAACAAAGAGGGGAATTTTCCACAGCCTTTTCAACTGGCTTATGCAGACCTGGACTTCATACCAAGAACTTCACCTCTGCCCCAAGGAACTTGCCTTTTGGGGAAGGAAGAGACAATAGGAACATTTCTTAACCTTATTTTGCGTCTGTGTCTGCCATTTCAGAAGAAAAGGGGGGAGGGGGTGGAGACACAAAGGAAGGTGCTGCCTCAGAAGCCCTCAAACTCTCCAAAAATATATATTTGAAAATAACTTTGAGAAATGCACCCAACAGAATAAAGAAAATTAGGTAAACTCAATTTAAATTAAAACAAAAATCTTTTGAAAGGCTCTGCTACAAAGGGAGACTTTGAGCCTCCCATTTTATGCATGCTTAAAAGCAGAGGATTTTGCAACATTCTTCCTGAACAGCAGTCCTGCACTTTAGTTTAGAGCCAAAATCAGTTGCTAGGGAGAAGGGGAACTCCCACTTTTTAAGACCATCAGACACGGAGGAGACAGAATTTAAGAGTATTAGGCTTGATCAACAATATCAGGAATTCTATCAAGCTTAAACTAAGAAAGGGTCCAACATAAAAAACTAAAATAAAAGTAATAAATGTACAGTAAATTGAAAAATTTCTTCTATTATATCTTGTAGTCCTTTTGAGATGGCATACACCCATCAGAAGAAAAAATGGTTACTAACCTTTTGTAACTGTTGTTCTTAAAGATGTGTTGCTCATGTCCATTCCATGCCAGGTGTGTGTGCCGCATGCACAGTTGCCAGAGATTTTCCCCTTAGTGGTATCCCTCGGACTGGTTCTAGTGCCCCCTGGAACCATGCACATATGCACCAGTATAAGGAGCACTGCCGGCTCTGCACTATCTCACCATTTTTCTTACTGATATCACCGACAGAGGGGTAGGAAAGTGGGTCATGGAATGGACATCTTGAAGAACCACCGTTACAAAAGATTAGTAACTTTTTTTCCCCCCCTCTTTGAGTGCGTGGTCATGGCCATTCCATGCTAGGTGACTCAAGCAGTACCCCTTGGAGGTGGGCTTGGAGTTTATGGATGTGCTGATTACAACACCGCTCTTCCGAAACTGGCATTGTCACGGGTCTGCTAGGTGATGGCATAGTGGGATGCGAAAGTATGGACCGACGATCATATTGTAGCTCTGCAGATGTCCTGGACTGGTACTTGTGAGAGGAATGCTGCTGACGAAGCCTGAGCTCTTGTGGAATGAGCATTCATGATGGCTGGAGGCGGAGCCTTCGCCTGCTCGTAACAAACCCCGATACAGGCGGATATCCAGGATAAGATTCTTTGGGATGACATTGGCAGCCCTCTCATGCTTCCTGCTACTGCTATAAAGAGTTGTGTAGATTTGCAGAAGAGCTTAGTCCTCTTGTTATAGAAGGCTAGGGCCTGCTAAATGTCTAATGTATGGAACCAATGCTCCTCGGTGGTCTTGGGAGGTTTCAGAAAGACGACCGAAAGAAAAATGTCCTGATTGTTGTGGAATTGCGACACCACCTTCGGTAGGAAGGCTGGATGGGGGTGCAGCTGGACCTTGTCCTTGAACATCACCATATAAAGGGGTTCTGACAACAGGGCTTTGATCTCAGATACTCTCTGGCTGAGGTGATCGCCAAGAGGAAGGCAACCTTCCAAGAGCGAAGCAGTATGGAACAAGATGCTAACAGCTCAAATGGAGGCCCCATGAGCTTTGACAAGACAAGGTTTAAGTCCCATTGTGGAAATCAGTTCATGAACCTGAGGATAGAGTCTTTCCAAGCCCTTGAGAAACCTGATTGTCATCTCGTGGGAGAACACTGATCTGCCCTGCACTGGAAGGTGAACGGCAGAAATGACTGCCAAGTGAACCTTAATAGATGAGAGCGCCAGATCTTGATGTTTTAGGTGGAGCAGATAGTCCAAGACAGACTACAGAGAAGACTGGGATGGAGAAAGATTCCGTTCGGAGGCCCAAAAAGTGAAATGTCTCCACTTAGCCAAGTAGGTGGACATGGTGGCAGGCTTTCTGCTACTTAGCAAGACTTGTCAAAACTTGTTCAAGCAGGCCTGCTCTTTAGAGTTCAGCCACGAAGCAACCAGGCTGGTACAGGTACAAGGAGGCGAGATTCGGGTGAAGCAATTGGCCGTAGTCTTGTGAAATCAAGTCTGGAAGGTGTGGGAGCGCAAGTGGAGCTGCCACTGAAAGGTCCAGAAGCTTGCCGAACGAAAGCTGGCGTGGCCATGCCGCAGCTATCAGGATAACCTTCACCTTGTCCCGGTTGATCTTTAGGAGGTCCTTGTAAACCAAGGGGATCAGTGGGAAGGTCTACCCACACAGAATAGATTATCAAGACTGGAAGGGACCTCAGGAAGTCGTCTAGTCCAATCCCCTGCTCAAAGCAGGACCAATTGCCAAGCCTGACCTTAAAAACCTCTAAGGAAGGATATTCCACCACCTCCCTAGGTAACCCATTGCAGTGCTTCAACACCCTCCTAGTGGAAAAGTTTTTCCTAATATCCAACCTAAACCTCCCCCACTGCAACTTGAGACCATTACTCCTTGTTCTGTCATCTGCTACCACTGAGAACAGTCTAGATCCATCCTCTTTCGAACCCCCTTTCAGGTAGCTGAAAGCAGCTATCAAATCCCCACTCATTCTTCTCTTCTGCAGACTAAACAAATCCAGTTCCCTCAGCCTCTCCTCAGAAGTCATGTGCTCCAGCCCCCTAATCATTTTTGTTGCCCTTCGCTGGACTCTTTCCAGTTTTTCCACATCATTCTTGTAGTGTGGGGCCCAAAATTGGACACAGTACTCCAGAAGAGACCTCACCAATGTCAAATACAGGGGAATGATCACGTCCCTCAATCTGCTGGTAATGCCCCTACTTATACAGCCCAAAATGCCGTTAGCCTTCTTGGCAACAAGGGCATACTGTCGACTCAGACAGAGACAGCAGTGGTAGTCATCCAAGCAGTGGAAAACATAATGAGGATGACTGGATGTGGAAGCTGCGGCATATACATGATCCTGGAGGGGGTATCTGAAAAGAGTTTCGTCTGCATGAAGTGCCGCCTGATAGAGCTGATGGAAGAAAAGATCCGAGTATTGGAGATGCAGGTGGAAACTCTGGTTGCGTTTAGAAGGGGGTTCGAGCAGATGATGGAGCAGACATGAGGAGGCTGAAGGAAAAAGCTCAGACTTGCAGTTGGAAGCAGGACCAAAAAATTCTGAGGGGAGACTGCTGCGTGAGGAAAGTGGACAGTGGAAGCATGTGACTAAGAGAACCAGGCAGAGGAAAAAACTGGCTAGTGAAAGAGAAATAGCGCTCAGGAACAGGTTTGCAGAGTTGGAAAATGAAGAAGGGGCACAGCAGGTGGTTGCTGAAGGTGAGAGGGCAAGGAAGAAGAGAAGAGCAGCTAGTCCTATAGGAAGGGGGGGAAGAGTCAATGGAGATAACACCAAATATGAGCCCCAGGAGGATACGGGATGGGTTGCGGAGGACTACAAGGGACAATAGAAAATCGAGAGGACTTGCAGCCAGAGGGAGCAGGGGATAGACCGGAGAATCGCACCATCACCAGGAAAAGGCAGGTCTACGTGATTGGGGACTCCTTACTGAGAAGAATAGACAGGCCTGTAACTAGAGCTGATCCGGAGAACAGAAAGGTGTGCTGTCTGCCGGGTGCTAAGATACAGGATGTGGACCTCAGGCTGAAAAGGATCCTAACAGGAGCGGGAAAGAATCCGCTGATTGTCCTTCATGTAGGAACAAATGATACAGCTAGATTCTTGCTGGAACGTATCAAGGGAGACTATGCCAGGCTGGGGAAGACGCTTAAGGAAATTGAGGCTCAGATGATCTTCAGTGGGATTCAGCCTGTTCCTAGAGAAGGACAACAAAGGTGTGACAAGATTATGGCGATCAACAGATGGCTCAGGCAGTGGTGCTATAAGGAGGGCTTTGGGATGTATGGCCACTGGGAAGCATTCATGGACAGAGAACTATTCTCTCGGGAAGGACTTCACCTGAGTAAGGAGGGAGATAGACTTCTAGGATGGAGGCTGGCACAACTGATTAAGAGAGCTTTAAACTAGGAATTGGGGTGCGGGGGAGAGGTGGTTGGGAGATGTCCAGGTAATCTCCACGCTGGATTTTAACATTGAGAAGGAAGAAAACAAAGTAAGAAAGGATACAGCCATGGGTATGAGAATGGACATAAGGAGGAAGGGTAGTGTAGATACCCGTCTAATAGATGATACTGGCGGTAGAATGTCTGTGCCTAATCAGGTAAAGAATGTCAGTGAAGCCAAATGGCAAAAATTAAGATGTTTGTACACTAATGTGAGGAGCCTAGGTAACAAAATGGAGGAAAAGACGGTTACTCACCGTTGTAACTGTTGTTCTTCGAGATGTGTTGCTCATATCCATTCCAATCAGGTGTGCGCGCGCCGCGTGCACGATCGTCGGAGAATTTTCTACCCTAGCAACACCCGGCGGGTCGGCTGTGGAGCCCCCTAGAGTGGCGCCTTCATGGCGCTGGATATATACCCCAGCCGACGCGGAGCCCCCTCAGTTCCTTCTTACCGGCTGCTCCGACAGTGGGGAAGGGGGGCGGGTTTTGGAATGGATGGGAGCAACACCTCTCGAAGATCAA